GTCATCCAGGTCGCCAAGGGATATCCAATCATTGCACCAACGTAGCAATGGGTTTGCCTATCAATACAAAGAGACCGGATCTGCTCCTCACACATGGCGCCACACTGACCTCACAGGCACATCCTACTGTGCATTGGGAACATCTCCCATACTTATGTGTTATTATTTACGTAAAATGTGCCTGTGAAGTCATTGTGAGGCACCCTGTGAAGTCCTTAAATTTTTTTACCCAAGCGTCCTTTAAAACACGCTGCGGTTGAACTTGTAACCATCACTGCATTAAATGCTTGAAAGATGACAGTGTCTTTACTCTTCTTAATCACGAATATAAATGTTATCAAGCAAGGCATTTTCATATTTTGAAAGAAAAAAAAATAAATAAATGCCTTTAGATAGTCTTTTCTTTGTTCTGTCTTTGTTGGACATTACCAAAATATTATTAGTTAGGTATTGTGTCAGAGTTTTTGATATGGTCACTCGCACATCTGAAAATCATCTTATGTTCATGAATACAGATTTTGACCTATTAGAGCCTCGCTTTTTCTTCTTTGTGTTTTTATTTTAGTTTTTTTTTTTTTTTGTCTCTGTTCATCTGCTGCTGATGAGTTATAGTTTGAGGGATGAATTGGTTTCTCTTCAATTCCCTATCCCTTCCCAAACAGCTCTATCTAAAATGATAACTGATAGTTGATGACTTTTGTCTCTTCCATTCCGTTGAAGGTAAGATATAGTGTTCTGCTATGTGTGAACGGTCCCCATCCACAAAATAGTATGGATAGGGATAGGCTACACCCCAATTTATCATCCATAGTCTCATCATGGATGATTCACTATGGTGTGGACAGTTTGTGGGAAGGTTTCAGTATAACACATCTGCGTTACATTGGTCCAATTACTCTCATTTTAGTTAATCTTTTAATAATTTTTAAATTTTTTATTTTTAATATTTTATCAATAAAATAATAATTTTTAATGTTAATTCTAGCACAAGTCTGATGGTTCTCCTTCTCAACTCTTTTTTCATTATTTAAATATTAATTTTTTAATATTTTATCAATAAAATAATATTTAAAATATTAATTTTTTATTTTTTTAATTATTTAAAAAATATAATTGTTGTCTACATATTGATGCCTTTTTTCAATTTATTTACCATATAAAATGCAAAAATTAGACATTTATGATCGATTTTATAGATCTCTCATAAAATTTATATGAAATACATGGAATAAAAAAGTATGATGTAGACCAATCCACACCACATCACACCTACAGAATGCCACTGTGGATGTAGACTGGATCAGTCCACACAATCTATCCATAGTTTAAAACGGGACTATAATATGGTGTGAATTGATTCCTGTCATAGGTTCTGATGTAGACCTGTCCACACCTACCAAGTTTCAACACGCTGCCACAGACCACAGTAATGTTTCAACAACTCATTCTTGGCAACTTTCATTGTAACAACGCGTAATTCTTCTTTCGGGTGGCTCATACTCTTCCAAATAGTCCTTGCTTTGATTCAAATCTGTGATGTGGGATAGTGGCGTATTTGACTGATATGTGAAAAGTCATAAGATTGTCTCGTTCTTGTATATTTCCTTCCTTCCTTCCTGCTACCTTAGCCTGCCCCACACAAATCACATATACACACATAAGAAAAACAAAAGAATAGACTTATCCATGCCTTATCGCAGCTATATGGTAAGAATCCTCCAAAACAGAAACATCCTGTTATCTTGGTTCGAAAATGATCGATGATAAAGCTCAATGCCGTATGAACACGTCTACCGATTTTTTCCCCACTTTCTTTCAGATATTGATAGAAGGAACGGAAGAAAAGAAGCTTTGATTGTCTCTTATGGATTCAATTTATATATCATCAACAGAAACCTAATACAGCTTGATTTGCAGTCCTGTCACATGACGCTTGTCCTGTAACATTGTGGTGTGTTGCTTCAATTGACCAAATTATATTTAGGGGAGCCTGAATATCCAAGTTTTTTTTTTTTTTTTGATAAATTTGAATATCCAAGTTTATGCTAGACAATAGCTTTGCCAAAGGTTGCCAACAGTCTGATTATCAATGGAATCTGTTCTAGGTCTGCATATTGAGCTTTATATGGAATATAATAAGATTTTTGAGAGGGAAGAGTATTATCAGGCTTATCGTCAAATTACCAACCAAAAGGTTTGCAAGTTATAATTGAATTTTTTTTTTTCAGGTCAGACCCAATAAACCCTATGATGGTTCTAGCTCTAGTACAAACTCCATAATGTCTAAAGCAGGAGTCAGGACCAGTTTTCCTTTATGTTTAGTGTCTGGTTTACACTGATACGGCACAGAGCCACCAATTAAAACAGCCCTATCACTACCTCAACTCTTCCTCTCTCAAATCCCCTGGTCTTGGCTCAAGGAGTCATCTCAATGTGAAAAAAAAAATCATGATTTTACATCCTTGAAAGTTCAAGCTTAATTGAATAACAAAAAGGAATACAAATCAGTAAAGGGAACACAAACAAGGGGACATGTAAACCATTCAGAGAAAAAAGCATTTCTGTGCAGAGAGGCCATTAGCAGTCATATTGGAATTTGAAAGCCACTCGTGGCCGCACATGTATTACTGATTCTTAATAAATCACCAGCGATGATAAACCAACTGTGGAAGGCACATACAAACAAAAGAAGGAACAGTTGTCGAGAAAAAGGGAACAAAACCATAACCAGTAAGGTTGCATTTGGTGAGACAGGAACTACTGTAGTGTCCTGTTCATAGCGTGTACTCTTTTGGGTGGTTGAAGAAAGAAATGAATATAAAGAAATTTTTTTAATATTCTTCTCTTTTTACATTTGGTTTGCAAGATGTTATGAAATGAGAGAATTAGTTTGAATTATAATTTTCAATTTTTGGAATGTTGGATCACACCATTTTGGTGTGAGAAGGTGGGAAAAGAAGGGAAGGCTTATTTAACACAAACAGTATATATACGAAGTTAAAGCACATTAATTGAGGTTCCCACAGTTTCCCCCTTGTGTAACCATTAGACCTGTTCATGGGCCAGGTGGCCCGATGGGCTTGAACAAGCAAATGGGCCCACGGGTTTAACTTCGGGCCAAAAAACCCGGCCCGCCATAAATTCGAGCTGGGCTCGGGATTTATCGAAATAGCCTGACTTGAGCCTAACCTATAATTAAAACTAAAAACCCTAGTCGAATACCCCTCTTTCTTTCACCTCTTTTTCCAACCAAACATTTCTTCTCCACATCCTCCACAGTTCTCAGTCCTCACACTCTCAGGTAGCCACACAACCGGCGAAGCAACGAACGTTCACCGGCGCAACAACTCCGACGGTGAGTCCTCTCTTTCTCTCTCTCTCTCTCTCTCTCTCTCTCTCAGACACGAACTGATCACTATTAAAATCGCAGATCGCAATTCACAATCACCACAAACTCAGCTCTGGCAAACACAATCACCGACGGTGAGTCCTCAGGCTTCGGGCTCGGGCTTGGGCTTCAGGCTTTTTATCAAGGCCGGGCTCGAGCCCAAATTATAGGCCCATTGGTCGGGCCGGGCTCGGCCTCGGGCTCAAGCCTAACAAATTTCCATTAATGAAGAATAAAAGCCCAGCCCATCCCGGCCCATGAACAGATCTACTAACCATTTAAGTGTGAAAAGGTTGGAAAAGAAGGGATGGCTTGTGTAAAACAAACGGTCCTTGTATAAAAAGAAAAGTACATTCATTGTTATTAACTGAGGTTCCCACGGTTTCCCATAAGTTTAACCAAACAATGAAACTTGAAATCTTTAGGCTATGTTTGGTTTAAAGGAAAAGGTAGGCAAAGGAATGGAAAGGAAGGGAAAGGTAGAGAAATCTATACATTTCCTACCTTTTCATTCGAACCAAACACAGCCTTAAAGTTTTCCTTTTCCATCCCATCCCACCTTGCAGACCGAATGCAACCTATGGGTTAGTATTGGTACGCGGGTAACCATTGAAAACTGAAAACCAAATACAGACCCAATAATGAACCCTAGTTTTATAGAAGGTCCAAAATATTGAAAATGCAGTCTCAAAAAGACAATTAAGAAACATACTGAGAAACGCTTTAGATACAGATCCATGGATATAAATATATAATTGAAAATTTATAATATGCATGGATACACTTAGAAAACTCAAATAAACCCCAATAAAATACATCAATGGCACTAATTTTAGTAATTTTAGTTTTAGATGACTACAAAGAAGGTTTACACACATAACGAGGATAGTTTTTGTGAAATGTGCATTAGTGGAACACATTTGGGCATCATTTAAAACTGATAGAACTAAAAGTATGAACATGTATCTTAATTATAAGGAAACCAATATAATTCTTGTTAATATTTATAGATATACAAATTTTAATTATCAAATAAATTTTCTTAATTTTTTCATAGGCATAGATTAAGAGAAAATATCTAAAGATTTAAATTTAAAGCACATGCAAATATAACCAGTTGAAGCATGGTATGGTGGTGGTAAGCTTATTGTCTTTCAACCTAAAGACTACTGGTCAGAATCTTCTCACTTGCAATTTATATACCATAAAAACCATGGGATTGGTTAAGGAACCAAATCGAATGGAATGTTACTACAAATAAAATAAGAAGGTATTGGCTGATACACTAAGTATCAATCCCTATTGGCCCCACGCAGGTGGAATGGAATGGAGTTTCAGCCATTTTCCCACTGTGAAAAGTTATTCAGATACATGCAACTCTTCTGGTTTCACTCTGATGGGCTAAAGTCATTCAGATACTGTAATTTTTCAATACCATGGAAATTGTCAGCAGCCATTGAGGTCACTAATTGATAATTCTATAGCTGAACTGACCGACTGACTGACTGAAAAGTCAGACTGATTTATGCACCAACAAATGTTCCCTCATGCTCTAAGGTTGGCTCAAATGTTTGCTTTCTCATTGTGGGTAGGGTATAGTAGAGAAAGAGTATGACAAAGAGGTCAACCATGAATAAATTGGGAACGAGGCAACTTCCAAATAAAGTTCAGGTTTGTGAGAAAAGATATGATGAGAAAACATGTCTTGTACAAGAAAACATGAGATACAGTAGCCTCCATCACTATACACCTTAAGCTATATATTCATCATGGTGGCATGGTGACTAGATTCTCGATATAATAAGCCCTAACAACGTCACCACAAAATAGTAGAAACAGCACTCTGCTTGCCAAGGCATTTACCAACCTCTACAAGAATTTCTCGATGCTAGCAGTCAGTGTACTTTTGGGCACAGCACCTATAACTGTGTCTTTCTTCTCCCCATTCTTGAAGATCATGATGGTCGGAATGCTTCGAATTCCATATTGAGTTGCAAGCGAATGGCACTCATCGGTGTTTAGTTTGAAGCACTTCATTTTTCCAGCATATTGCTTTGACAGCTCACCTATGATGGGATGAATCATACGGCAAGGTCCACACCATGGAGCCCAGAACTCAACCAACACAGTTTGGTCACATTCAAGGATAAGTGGCTTCCAAGTTGCCTCCGTCACATCAGGCACTGCATCACCCAGAGATCATTTATTTCATAAATGCAGACAGCATATAGATAATAAGTGTATATGAAGTTATGAGCACATAATAAATCTTAATTTCTCATAAAAGGGCAGCCCACAGTGCACGAGGCTCCCACCAATGCGGGGTCTGGGGAGGAACAGATGTACTCAGCCTTACCTCTTCACATACAGAGGGGCTGTTTCCAAGATTTGAACTATGGTCACCCAAGTCACAATGGAGCAACCCAACAGTTGCACCAAGGCCCACCCTCAAATCCTAATTTCTCATGGAGATGAATTTTTTTCATCTCATGGAGATGAAAATTTCTTGGGCATTTTGATCATTTCTACGAAGTTGTAAGTGGGCCGAGCCTAGTAGATTGATTTGTCTATCTACAACGCAATCTTTTTTATGAATCTATTTATAACTTGGTTATGTACTAGTGTTTATAATTTCAGTCATTACTCAAGTAGATTAGGAGTTGTAGTTACTTTAAATCAGAGTACAACAATAACAAATTTGTAATTTTCTGCTTTTCTAGTTTTAGTAGAAATGGCCAATCCCTACGATCTATAAACATGTCTGTAAGATAAAGAGATTAATTATTATATTTTGAGTGAATATTTGAGTATTCCCATCAAAACATAGAATAATATTTGGTGCCCATGGAGGGATTAGGAACCTTTTCTCTTCTTTGTTTATCTCTTGCTATGTAAGCTAACTTCAGCATTGATTACCAAACAATAACCAGAGAAAATACCATCATTCAACATTTTTTTTGACAAGTAACAGAAAATTTATTTATAGTAAAGAAGGATCAAGTACAACAACCAAGAGGAGGGGTAAACTCTCTTAGCCCTCCCCGAGATCAATACTAAGATAAAAAATTACAAACAAGCCCACATGGATTGAGTGCTCCCTACCCCCTGTTTGGCTAAGGCATCCGCAAAAGAGTTGGCCCTTTTGACCCACTGAAGTCTTACTTCCATACCTCTAGAGAGCCATTTGAATTTCTTCTTTTCATTTACAAATTCCTACAGACCATTCTCTTCCTTTTCTAACCAGCCAATAGCTACCTTGGAATCACCTTCCATGATAAATTTGTGGATAATTAATTCTTTTGCCCTTTTTAACCCTTCCAAAGCAGCCAAGATCTCAGCCCTGAGAGAATCACCTACCCCAACTGACTCGGAGAATATAGCCAACACCTGTCCTTCCTTGTTACTGAATACACCTCCAATACCTGATGGCCCAGGGTTGCCTTCACTGCTTCCATTAAAGTTTTAACTTTATGAACCCTTCAACTGGTGGAGACCACAAAGGATTATAAACCTCTTTCCTAGGTGCAGATTTGGCCACTTCCTCCCAGTTATTAATCAGCAGCCCTGTTGGAATATCCTCGAGCAATTTTAAGGATTCAACCCACTGAAGCACTCTAACTGTAACAACCTCCAGAATTGCACTCAAGATCCTTTCCTTAACTAGGAAAGTCCTTTCATTTCTTTCTTCCCACACTGTCCAGCATATAGCAGCTCTAGTGCATCACCAAAGTACTTTACCCCTTCTCTTCATCCCACTTACAACCAAAGAGACAAACAAGCTTTGTAAGTCCAGAGGAGGAGTCCACCTGCAACCAAACAAAGAAGCAAACCAATTCCAGATATATAGGACAAACTGACAAGAAATTAACAAGTGGTAACAGCTCTCACCATTGACCTTGCACAAAATGCACCAATTGGGAGACAAGCACCAAGAAGGTCTTTTCTTTGAAGCAAATCACAAGTGTTGATCTTCCCCAGGAGAGCTTCCCAACAGAAGGCCCCTATTCTCAGAGGAATTGGCTTTCCCCACACTTCTTTCACAGGAAAATGCAGCCCAAAACTGGCAGAAGGTAGGTTCAAGAGTTTAAAGAAAGAGGCACAAGAGAAGGAACCAGAGGGGGCTAAGGTCTAGATTCTACTATCCGGTTTAGAAGGGTCCAAGAAGACTTCTTGAAGAAGGGTGAGCAGGCACAACACATGGTCTAGTTCTGAATCTCTAATTCCTATCCTAAAAGCCCAAATTCCAATCAAACCCTAAAGTTGAGGCAGAGAGAATCAAGAGAGAAGACACCGGCTCATCCTTGAAAGTTGAAACTTCAGATAGAGAACAAAGAAGGAAACTGATCTTTCAGAGAAGACTCACCCACCCAAACATGTTCCCAAAATTTAATAAGGTCCCCTGAGTAAAGATTGTACCTGACAAATGGTAGGAAAAGAGAAAAGACAGCATGTATAGACCTCCAAGGAGAAGCATTTGTAGCTCAAGCCATCACTCCAGCATCCCAACCATCAGCCAACAACCCATGAATGCTAAGAACCACCTTGGCCCACAATTTATCCTCATCCAAAGGCAGCCTCCACAACCACTTCCCCAATAGAGCTTGATTTCTCTTCTAAATACTCCCTAAACCTAGACCACCTTCAGTTTTACTCCTGCAAACTAGGTCCAAATTGACCCTATGGTCCTTCCTTTCCTCCCCAGGCTCCCACAAAAAATCTCTCGTTAACTTTTCTAGCCTTTTGCCCACTCCCACTGGAATTTTAAAAACAGATAGGAAATACACCGGCAGATTTGCCAATGTGGACCTAATCAAACTGTTATTCCTCGAATTATCTCCTAAGGGAAGTCCCAGATAATTCATTGGCTACTGAGAGACCTCGTAGCCCATTATAGAGGCACACTCTTGTAGCTCCCTCTCAATCACCCCAACCACACAACTTTTGTTGAAATTTATTTTCAAATTTGACACCCTCACAAATAACTGCACAACCAACTTCAAATTTCTCACCATGCTCATATCAACCCCATCACAAGATAAGATGGTGTCATCAGCAAACTATAAATGTGTAACTGGAATCCTGTCCCTACCAACTCTCCAACCTCTCACCAAACCTCTTACATCAGCTCTTTCAATTAACTTCCCAAGGACCTCTGCAACAAGGGTAAACAAGAACGGGGAGAGGGGGTCACCTTGTCTAATTCCTCTTATGGTAGGAAAATGATCCACTACTGTTCCATTCACCACGATTGAATAATGGCAAGACTCAAGGCAACCCTTAATCCATTTGCACCACTTTACTCCAAACCCAAAGTTCCTCAACACCTCCAAGTTGAAGGACCAATCCACCAAATCATATATGCCTTTTCTAGATCAACCTTACAAACTAATCCTTTCCATTTCTTTTGTAATCCTCCAAGCTTTCATTTGCAATCAGGATCTGATCAATGATTTGTCTATTTCCTACAAATGCCCCTTGATTCAATGAGATTATAGAAGGAAGCACTACTTTAATTCTCTAAGAGAGAACCTTAGCAATTATTTTATAGAGGCTATTCACCAAGCCGATGGGTCTAAACTCACAGGGATGAACTGCATCTAGCTTCTTTGGGATAAGAGCAATGAAAGTGGAATTCAGCCATGGGTTTATCACTCCTCTATCAAAAAACTCATTGAACACCTTTAGAATATCTAGCTTTAAAAAATCCCAACAGTCTTGATAAAAGACCATTGTAAAAACGTCTGGCCTTGGAGCCTTAGCTCTATCCATGGAAAAAATTGCTTCCTTGATTTCACCCAAATCAAAATTTCTTTCTAGCCACACCTTAGAATCTTCAAAGATCTTTGTCCACTCCAAACCATCTATACTTATTCTCCCATTTAGAGGCTTTCTAAATATAGATTTAAAATGTTCCACAAAGGCCCTGGCTATTTCATTGTGTTGTGTAACTAATTCTCATTCACCTCAAGTTTAGAAATGAAGTTTCTACTTCTCCTAACACTTGCCATTGCGTGAAAAAACCTCGTATTCCTGTCTCCTTCCTTTAACCACAAGTGCCTTGACTTTGGTCTCCAACTAATCTCTTCTTTGACCAATATATCCTCCAGTTGCTTCCTTAGTGACCACCTCTCAGCCTTTTCAATTTCCCCAAAGTTTCCTTCCACTTCCTTGATGTCCAAAGCCTCAATTTGGTTCAATAATTCTTGCTTCCTTTCTTCTAATCTACCAAATTGATGGATGTTCCAATCTTTGATTTTACCCTTTAACTCCTTCAACTTCCGATGGAATTTCATGCCTTCCCAAAGGACTTCCAGGTTGCTCTCTATCCACCACTTCTTCACTTTTCCTATAAAACCTAGATGATTCAACCACATATTTTTGAATCTAAAAGGAGTTCGGTCTCTACCTCGAAACTCTTATTTGCAAATCGAAATTGGCCAATGATCAGAAGTAACTCTAAGCAAGGCCCTTGAAACTAGGTCTCCCCAATGTTCTTCCCAATCCACTGTAAACAAGAACCTACCAAGTTTGGAACAAATTGGATTTGTTTGCAGATTTGACCAAGTGAACTTACTATGTGACATAGGAATCTCTTTTAACTCAACAACATTTATGAACTCATTAAATCTCCTCATATCGGTTGTCACTCTTGGTCTACTCTTATTGGTATCATCGGTGAATCTTATTACATTAAAACCCCCACCTATACACCAAGGTCCATCCCAAAGGCCTCATATATGTTAGTCAATACCCATTCAAATCCATCATTTGCCTATCGAAATTTGATAGACAAGATGAATTTCGCCATTAATTCTTCAACTCCTTCCATCATATTATCCCTCCAAAGAGTCACTACACCCCCTGAAGAACCCCAAGAAGGACACATTGCCCAACTTAAACCTCTGCTTCTCCAAATACTTCTTGCTCACCTATTATTAAACTCCCCCAACTTTGATTCCTGAATGATAACGATGTCCGGATTCTCCTTCCTTAGAACTTCTTTCATAATGGCCCTCTTCCTAGAACTCCCTAAACCATGGACATTCCAACTGGTTATCTTCATCACTCTCGTCTTGTACTTGCCCCTACCCTGCCTTACCCTATCTGCTCCCCCTTCTTCTATCCTTTCTTTCACTGAACTCCTTGTCCCCCTCTATATCTTTTTTTAGTCTCTCAGCCTCAC